ACCGAGTTTTTGTAATCGACCGAGTTTTTGTAATCGACAGAGTTTTTTGCTGAATTGACCGAGTTTTTGTAATCGACCGAGTTTTTGTAATCGACCGAGTTTTTGTAATCGACAGAGTTTTTTGCTGAATTGACCGAGTTTTGGTGATTGACCGAGTTTTGGTGATTGACTATTTTTATAAGCATTGATTGACAAAAAAAAAAACATATGGAACGTGCTTGTGTAATGCAATGCACTGATAAGTGTACACATTCAAGCGAAGTAACGCAATTGACAAACAAATATTCAACTACATCGAAATGACAATTTTGAACCATTCCGCGCGCCATACGTGCTTGTGTAATACAATGAACTGATAAGTGTACACATTCAAACGAAGTAACGCAATTGACAACAAATATTCAATTACATTGAAATGACAATTTTGAACCATTCCGCGCGCCATATTATGATTGACAAAAAAAAAAAAACATATGGAACGTGCATGATCATGTTACGTATGCAGCCTGAGTCTGAGGGGAAACGTGCTTGTATGACATATGACGTACGTTTTTTAAAATTTTGGGGTTTCCCCCATTTAATATTATGACGAGAATTAATCATTTACAGTCAAACAAGCTCACGCGTTGACCCCTAGAGTCGATTAATGATTTGAATTTTCTAATTTTGATTTCATTATTCAGTTGAAATTTACAACGTCGATAACGAAGATATAAAAATTCCAATCAACTTTAAAGACCATTGCCACTTACCGTGATGCATCACAATTTGTTTACATTTTGAATCGTGTCACCACTGAAAAAACAATTCCAACCTTTTGAATAAACTCTTAGATAGTCCCTAAAGCCGTAAAAGAATGTAAAAGAATCATTTTTGTGCCTTAGTGCTATGTCAGAAAAGGATTTAATATGAAGTTATTATTCAATATATGAATCTTTGAATTTCATGGACCACGAAATTCATCTGTGACCGCGGTGCATCACGGTAAGTGGAAATGGGTCTTTAAATTCAATATACGGCATTTTGATTGGTTAATCAGTGCTAACACAGGAAGATCAAGAAAACGTACATGGCGGCCAGAAATAGTCTTGGCCGTGTTTATGTGCCGGGAAGGCCTTTACCTGATATTATTCGACATGCAATTGTTCATCTCAGCAATAGCGGATTGCCCAATCAAGCAATTTCGCGACAACTGAACATTTCTAATTGGGGAGTCCAGAAAATACTCCAACATTATCGACGACATGGAACTGTGTCTCCATTCGCTCAAGGCGAGAACATTCCCTACAAAATTACTGATGATATCTTCCAAGTAATTGAGGCATGGAAATTACAAAACCTAGTGTGTATGCTTATGAAATAAGAGAGCGACTTCTGCTCGAAGGTATCTGTAATTTAGATGATTTACCTTTTTCATCACGAGTCGAATAATGAACTGAATTTTCATTTGAATATTACAATATTGCATTATTCCGGTTCGTACGTATAAAAGGAATAATTGACTAATGATTTCATTAATCGAGTCTAGAGGTCAACGCTTGAGCTTGTTTGACTGTAATATTATGCGAGAAACGTGAATGCATGACATGACGTGAGGATTATTTTTAATTTTGGGGTTTCCCCATTATGCGAGAAACGTGATTGCATGGCATGACGTGGGGAATTTTTTAATTTTTTTAATATCCTGCGAGACGCTGAGAGCTAAATGTCAGAAGGTTATGTTCGATTTGAAAACCATACTGAAGACTAACTTACTTTTTAAATATTTTATTTTCGATATTCTTTGAAAGACAGGGAGTTTTCTCGGACCTTGATCTGGTGTGATGTAGAATGATCGAATGTAGAGTATACAGAGTGCATGTTTATGGGTCAAAATACTCAAGTCCGGCCGTGGTTTTCTAGGAAAAACAAATGGAAACTTTTAGAAGAAAAAAGAAAAGCAACAAAAAGCAGGTTTTGTACAAGAGAAAATTCTAGTAAGAAGATACATGGAATCGATGGAAGAAATCGGAGTAAGCACTGATGCAGATGCCAAAAATAGCGCTGACGTTCATGACGTCATGTCAGTCGTCTGTCACGCTGTCGCTCATGATATATATATGAGCTGTTTCAATAGTTATAGCTCAATCGTACAGTTCGAATTCAGCGAAGTAATTCATACTAAATTTATTCGACCAAAGATTTTATTTCTTTTTATTCCATACTTTTTACTGACATCTAATGACAATGGTGGCTGCGCTTGATTCTCGTAAACTCTATTTTCCCAAGTCCATCAGTTCTAGCTTAAAATGTGAGCTGTGTAAGAATCTTTTAAGAAAACCCAAGCAATCTACCTGTGGACACAGGTTCTGCCAGAACTGCTATGAACGACGGGTAAAGTAAGTATATGCAAAGTTCGTCTATAGTAATATTCAAGGCGACTCAGATCTAGACCGGGTCACTAAACACGACTAGTTTGAATTAAGTTTACACTTGAAAATATTGAAATCTCATCTAATTTAAAATTGATCGAACACGGTTAAAAGATGGTTTCAAAATCTGCAAGACATATCTTTAAGAAGCTCTCGTTCTAGTTAGTAACGAGTTAAACAAACTTTTGGTTTCAAAACTTCTATTTTAGTCTGGCAGTTGGAAATCGTCACTGTTTCGTAATCTGTTTGCGTCAATATTCTGTCAGTCAATGAGAAGTTTCCAGACCAATAAGCATTATTTTTTTGAATTTAGGGATTATTTGCCCTTAAAACGGGCTAAATTCAAAAAATAACCACACAGAGCGAAAGAAGTGTTATTTTTCAATGTTCGGGTAAAATTTCGAGGCTTTATTTCACGTTTCAATGACTTTATTAACATTTTTGAAGAATCCCCATACATTTCCTTATAACCGGACACCACAGAAACCAAGCTTGGGCTACCTGTGGAAGTACCACTATAAAATATAACGTATTTTTTAAATAAAGAAAAGATCGAGGGCCGGTAAACAACTGAGAGTCTCCGCAAGTCGCAGACAATTTTAAAGATTTGTCTGTACTATTCATAATACTCGAAATAAAGCGCGAAATTAAATGACATATAATCCACTAAAATGCTAGTGCCAACGGATCACGGTTACATCAGAATGTCTCAAGGGATGTAGATTTATGATAAATTGACGACTCTCATTGCATTCATCCTTACAAACGTGATCAAGCGCCAGGGAAAGATTGTAACGGCCCTCCCAACCAACCCGATGGGTTGAAATTCGTGGGAGATGTCATCTAATGGTTTCACCATTAATCCAATGGCGCTCGATCAATGTTCTCATACCTTCAATAAACAATGAGTGTGAATGAGAGTATTATGAAGTAGGATTATTCCATGTTTGCTCACAAAAAGTGTGTATTTTCCATTTTTTAGGGATTCATCAGGAGCTGTAAATTGTCCAGTCGATGGGAATGAACTAACATCTGAAAATCTATTCCCCGATCGATGTTGTGAGAGAGATATTCAGAACCTAGATTGTTACTGCTATAACAATGAAAAAGGCTGCGGATGGCTTGGTCAACTACGCGATTTAGAGGTTTGTAATTCGCTTCTTTTTTGCTCGGTGGTTTTAATTCTCGCTCGATCCAAATATCCAAAGTTCCCCAAAACCCCAGTTTTTCCCCGAACCCACAAGAACGCCTGCGACTTCCAGGTGATCTTACCTTTAGATAGAATGACAAGAAGGATATTAGTACCGGAAGTCGCTGAGCCGGCATGAGGGAATAATTTTAAATAGAGATCATTCTTCCCGCGAAATTCAATGCAAAAATATTTACTTTGTAATAGCAAGGGGACTCGCTGTCTGGAAATGTCTTATTTTCCTGCTATAGGGACTGAGAGGGCAGTGCGTAGCGACTGAGTATTATATTAGTCATCGAGTAATTCTCCCATTAATGCTGTTCTGCATGGCCTGACTGTGAAATGACTTTTCTCTTCAAAACAATCATAAGGCATAAACTTGTCAGTGCGTTAGTGGATTGTATAGTATTTGTACAGTGGGTAGATAGATTACTGGTGTCTGATGCATACGCCTCAGTTGCCTTAGACGTAATCTTTAATTTCCAATTTCAGATCATATTGATTGATTGATTGATTGATTGATTGATTGATTGATTGATTGATTGAATGTACGTCATTAACAATAATAACTGCCTTGCGTCAATAATGATTTCACTTTCGATCCCTTTCCCCTCCCCTTCCCTCTCGTTAATGATATTAGTACTGATTCAAGTACATATTTGTTTTTATATTACAGAAGCATGAGGAGAAGTGCGAATATTCACTCGAGGAATGTTCCAATCCTGGCTGTAATGAAAAAATAGAAAGAAGACATCTGGATGATCACGTGAAAAAGACGTGCGACTTTAGACTGATCACGTGCGAGAACTGTGGTGCAAACGTGATTCATAGCAATGAAAAGGTACTATTTTCAAGTATTTGTTTCTATTTTTTTAGTACTCCAAAGGAGGTGACTAGTCACACCACCTGGCCCCACCTTGACATACCCCTTGCTCCCAGATCAGAGTTCTGGAGTCCATTATAATGTTGTTATTTTTATTCTTTCTTAACAGCTGCACAATGAAAAATGTCCAAAGGTTGAGGTCCAGTGTACCAGTGGATGTGGAGCAATGATAGCACGAGGAGAACTTGAGGAACACGTGACAAAACAATGTGTCAATGCACCGGTCGCCTGCGCATTTGAACAAGGTGGCTGTCATTTTAAAGTGAGTATAAAATGCCTCTCCTTCAGGAGACATCCATGAAAATAAGAAAGAAAGCATGCACATTATTGAAAATAAAGATTAGTGTGATAGATATAGAGTTTGACAATAGACCACAATGGATATTTTTTATGAGAAAGAAATTATGTTCAATGTAAAAATCATGAAACTGATACAGACTAGTGCCAAAGAGAGTTCGACAAAAGGCAAAGGCTTTGTGATTCAAATACAAAAAAAAAAAAAAAAAAAAAAAAAAAAAAGAAAAAACCAAAAAAAGGTTTTCAGTCACGCGGGATTTTTTCCTTCCGCTATAGTAGCAAAGAAACGGTAGCAAAAGTATAAGGGGGGAGGGGGAGAAGAAATTTATCGATAAAAAAGCTCTTCTTCTTCTCAAAATACTAAAATATTCGATTCCCCAACGACATTAATACAGCTGATAATTGTATCATCACTCTATAATCCCATATAAGCAACTATTTTATTATTTTCAAATTCTCTTTCCAATTAAAGATTAATTTGGATGTTTCCATTCGCATTCTTTTGAGGGAAAACTATGAATCAGTCTAGTATAGTTTGGGGTGATATGATTAATCTGCAATAGGACTACATGTCTGTCCAATTTGGAAACAATTGAATTCAAAAAATTCCTCTTACTGACTGCCAAATTAGACTCGGCCTATCGGCCTCTTTCAATTTTGTCAGTCCTCGGCATTTTTTTCATCCAATTATTTCCAATTTGGACAGCATGTAGTCCCATTACCTATACTTATTGCCGGCCAGAAAATGAAACTTAAAGTAATTGAGAGAAATTTAATTTTTGATGACATTACACTATATAGTTACAAATATCATCAATCGGTTCATCATCAGTTCATGTTCTCCATCTAAATTACTCTTTCGTTTGGTTACTAACCTTTATTTTGTTTGTTATTCCTAAAGGGATCGCGAGGAGATGTCGAAGAGCACGAGTCTACAGCAATAATACAACACATTCAAATACTAGGCGACCAGCACAAGGAATCTTCTGAAAATATGCAGCAATTGAATGATAAAATCAAGAAAATAGAGTCTAAGAAAGAATATCTTGAATCACAAATGATAGAAAGCAGAGAAGTCTTAGCATATACCAAACAAGACCTGCAGACCCAGGGGACAAAGATGGGGATCCTAGAAAAGAATATCACAAAACAAAAAGAAGAACTGGTAAAATTAAAAGAAATCCTAGATAATATTCAACATGAAAGAGGCTCGGATACCGTAATAGAGTCTCAAATTGGGGAGATTATCTCGCTCTTAGAGAGTCAA